TGCCACAGGGGTCACGACCAACAGGTTGAGAAACACTGTTCTAAGAGCTTTCTCTCCTGACATCCAAACTGAGCAGATCCTGAAACGGCAATATTAAAAACTTAATTCAAAATTTAAACATGCCTTCTTGATGTGCTTTCTGGGGGTGGGGGAACCACCTAAAACGAAACAAAACAACAACAACCAAAAAAAAAAAAAAACCCAACCAAAAACCCTAAGGGTTTCAGCATAGGCAGTGAAGGGAAAAGGCTGGCTTGGGGTTTTGCCCAAGGTTGACAAGCTTCTGCCCTTGGCAGTGCCGGTGTAACCACAATGTTTGCTGATGATTTTTTTTTTCTTCATAACCAAGTAGGAAGAAGTGAAGGTGGCAGCTAGTGGTGTCCAAAGGGCAAGAAGTCCATCCTTTGTGATCACTTTTCCTGTCCCTTCCCAGTGAAAGCAAGACTCACTCATCAACTCTTCTCTGGTGTGAAGTGGAGACACGGCACCCCAACTTCAGAAACATCCAGGAAAGGCTCTGTAGGTTCTCACCAGAATGTGGTCCCAAGTTACCATGGAAACCTTCACATGGAAAAGCCTTTACTAGAAACAGTCTCATACTCAGTATGAGGAGAATATTTAGAGCCCAAGGAAGGATAAGGTAAGTGCAAAAGTATACCTCGCTGTGTCTGTGGGGTGGGAGGAGATTGCTGTGAAGTAAACAGGTCACGTACTTGTCAACAGTGTGAATTATGATGAGTGTGCTTTGAAAGTTTCTAGAAATGCTGAATAAAGTCTTTCTCTTACACAGTTGTTCTATCAAGAAAGCAAGTGACGTGTGAGGGCTGGAAATGAGCGAAGAACTGGGAACTAGTCTGAACTGACCGGGGGCTGCTGGAAGGAGATGGGTGAGAGCAGTTGCCAGGGTTTGGGGGCTTCACCTTCAAGTCACCAGCACAGGGGACAAGAGGATCCCAGGGCACGGAGAGGAAGAACAGCAAGCCACCGCAGCTCTCACAGTGTGTGAGACAGGGCAGGGTGCAGGCACTCGGGGGTGCTTTAGGTAGGGATGGCAACAGTGGCTGGTTTTAGAATTGATGAAAATGGTCCTGCTTAGTGAAACATGCGATGAATACAGTCATTTTAAAGCAACACTAGCCTTTCACTGCGGGAGGCGGAGGCAGGAGGTCATTCTCAGCTGTGACACGAGTTTGAGGCTAACCAGGGACACGTGACATCTCTGTGCATCATATATGATTTATACCCAGCACTTAGGAGGCAGAGGCAGGCAGGTCTCTGTAAGCTACAAAGTTATATGAAACAAAATATGGACAGGACTTCCAAGGTCCTCAGACAATTCCATAGTCACAGGGCAAAAATTTAACATATCTTTTTCAGTAATTTGAGAGTTCTAATAACAAATAACAACAAAAGGACGTAAAAGGCACAATAAGCGAACATGATTTTTTTTTTTTTAAAGACCTCTGACCACTGTAAGAAATATACTTCAGGGCTTAGGAGGTGGCTCAGTTGGTTAAGCACTACAGTATGAGGCCCAGAGATCTGACCCCCAGAACCCACATAAATGCCAGGTGGAAGCAAGGGCTCCCTAGAGCATGCTGGCTCTCACCAACAGATCACACAGTAGCCCCCAAAACCATTCTTGGGGTGCTGCAGAATCCCTAGCAGACAGTGCTCAGGGGAACCCTCCACTGTTAGACACCTGCAGAGATGGTGGACTCTACTTGGGGGGAAAAAAACCCAAAACTAAGACAAGCAGTGATCAAGAAGTGCCGTAATGGAGCTTCTGAGAATATATCGCTCACAAGCGAGCATGCAAGCTTCTGTTCAGTGGTTAAGGACTCTTGGGGAAAATAAGTTTAGAAAATACATGTGTAAAATAGCCACCAAAAAAAAAGAATGCGCTTATCTGAAGATTCGTGAGAAAAGCCTCTGTGTGGAATTCAAAACATTCCTGACCTCAATAAATGGAGAGGTTCACAATATTGGCAGAGTTGTAGACCCCAGTTCTAAGTTCCTTAACTTTATGCAGTGGGTAGTTTGAATGCTAGCATTTTGGGTTGATTCTACTCGGCATTAGTTCAAGGAACCAATAGCTCTGGGGCAGCTTTGGAGAGAGCATCCAATCACTGGGGCCCAACTCCTGCATGGAGGAAAAGCCTAGATAGTCCACAGTCAGGAGCAGATGTGATATTAGCCTAGGGAGGAGCTGAGGAGACCCCAGAAGCAGGTTCACTCATGTATGAAAGTTTGTACGGAGTGGAGACATACCTTCAAATCAGTGAGGGAAAGGGGGCTTTTGGAAATAATGCTGGAGCTGCAGTGGGTCATGGTGGCTCAGGTCTGTGATCCCAGCAATTGGAAGGACTACGAGTTCATGGTGAGCATGGTTTACTTAGTGAGTGCTAGTCTTTAAAAAAATAAAATAGAATAGAATAGGGGTGAGGTAGGGGAGCAGCACTGGAAGGACCCGCTGTTCCACTGTCAGTGAGGAAATAACCAGCCGGGTGTCCACATCAGGAGTTGTTAAAATGGATTAAAGAGCTAGACAAAAAAGTGCGTATCCTGAAGTGTGGAAGGGAATGAAGGAGCAGGCTCTTAGGGTCTCAGAGGAAGAAAAGATTTGCTAAACCCCACACCAAACGCAAACCATGAATAAATATGATACATTTGACTACATTAAGATAGTCTTTAAGAAAAAAAACTCTTTGTACATGAAAGATGGCGTAAAGAAGAAACAAGAATGAAACTTGGGGAAGGAATTCAGCCTGTACCTACCTGGCAAGGATGGCCCAGAATGTATAGTAAACAGCGTTAGCTAAAGGCCAAAGTCCTGAAAGGTGATATAGGACAGCTTCACAACACACAGGAAGAAAATGATAGACTCAAGCAGAGAGGGGTCACGATCCACAGGTTGAGAACCATTGACCTAGGGCCAGACCAGTGTGCATCTCCACCATGGAGGGCAGGCAGGCACCAGGCCTGGGACATCCTCTGCTCCCTACAGCTCTGCGTTTAAGGGTGACAAACCAGTGGACGTGGCTTCTAGCGGAGGGTACACAGAGGATCTCAGAAACACCAGGAATGTTTCACTCCTCAGAATGAATTGTGCATTGGTGGGCTCGGTTCCACCATTCTGTGTGGCAGGCAAGCAGAGGGAATAGTTCAGCAGCCTTGAGTCTAGGTGGTTTGGGTTAGACACACAGCTGCCTTCTAATAATTCACCTGGCAGCCCGGGGGCCCCATTCACATGACTGCACACCCCCCTACCTCCAAAGAACCTGCCAGAAGCCCGGGACCCCACATCAAGCCTCACACACACCCAAGTCGGAGCACTGCAGTAAGTTTACCTTCTCTTACACTCCCTCAGACTGAGATATTGTTCAGTCACGCTCTGGCTACGTCCGATAGGAGAGCGGGAAGGCTGATCCTGCCTGAACTGGTTTGGGGTGCATGCCCAGTGAGACAAGTTGTTCTTTCGAAGCAAACTTTTGGGGAGAATCCCCTCTTTCTTCACTACCTTATACCTGTGCCTATCGTTTTCTTCAGATGGGGGACCCTGGTAGGTTGCCATGCAACGGTGCACAGACCTACACCCATGTGATATGGGCAGCACTAATTGGACCCAGTGGGATATGTACATATATATATATGTATATTGTGTGTGTGTGTAGAGAGAGTGAGAGGGTGAGATGAGTGAAGAGAGAATGAGGGAACATGAAGTTGGCAGGGAAATGGAGGAGGGATCTGGGAGGAGTTGCAGTGGGGGGGGCGGCGGGGGATTGGACTTGATAAAAACGAAATGCCTTCATATATGAAGGGTAAAGCAATAAAATAAAATAAAAAAACACCATCCAGGCGCCCAGTCCAACCTAACGGGCTCTAATCTGTGGCTCAGTGGTATTCGGCACAGCCATTATTCCAGTTCTATTCTGTCCTTTTGCAATTGCCGAAGCTATTTTTAATCTTGTGAAACTGCTCTAAGCTAACACAAGACAGAAGGCTCGCAGAAGGTTGAGAAAGGTAAGCCATTAAAATTTATATGTAGGCACAGAAGTCAGGACACCAAAATGTTAAGGGGGGAGTTGCTTTTGGATGAATTAGAGGTGACTTGATTTTTTTTTTTTTAAATAATCTAATTTGAGGTGGCTGTATAGTTCTGGATGTGGGCATCCACTGGAGAATGGTTGACCTGCAGAGAGGGTGGACACCTTTAAAGAAAACGGGTTCTCCCTCCCCCGGAAGCCATAGACTGCCCACAGCTCCTCAGTTAGGGGTGAGAGCTTGCCAGTTCCTTCCCCCCTCCGCGCTGAAAGGTTGGCTGCCTCCTGCTTATGCAGATCATCTCTGACTTCAAGAGCACACCGGTTGTCATGTCCAGAAGCCACAACAGTGTCACCCTGATCCTTCCAGACCTCTGGCACTTAAAGTCTTTCTGCCCCTCCTCCCTTTGGAGCTGGTGCGACGCAGATGGCCTCAATCTTCTTTTAGACAGAGTTCTCTAAGAAAGAAAAGAGAAAAGAAAAGAACTTGTGTGTGTGTGTGTGTGTGTGTGTGTGTGTGTGTGTGTGTGTGATTAATGCTTTAGTATAAGAAAGATCTCCTTTGCTCAAACAATGCAAACAAGGCCCAATGATAACCTGAAAGAGGTCAGAGAGCAGAGGACTGCAGGCTTGTGCCACTTCTCTGGAAGTCTGGGGTGTCTGTCCCTATCACAAAATCTGGAGAGGAGCAACGTCGCCACAGCCGGGACTCCAGAGGAAGCTGCCCAGCCTCCCTGAATGGGCATGGACCAGCTGCATGGCCTGGGTTTGAGGGTCATCGAGCCGGTGCCGCGCGTGCCATCGCGGCTTCCGAAGCCGCAGGGAGCGGGGCCGTTCCGCGGAGCTGCTTGTCGCCGCTGGCCAGCCGCAGCCGCAGCGACGCGGACTTGGGGACGCGCGCGGGGCGGGGACCAGGCCACCCGCCTCCTCCGACTGGGGAGTCCCCGGGGCCGGCGCGCGGGGAAGTCCCAAGCGCGGGTACAAGAGCGCGGCGCGCGCCCAGGAGGGCGGCCCGGACGGTGGCGCAGCGCTCCAGCCATGTCGCAAGGCCTCCAGCTCCTGCTCCTAGGCTGCGGTACGGTCCCCTCCGAGCCCGTCGCCCCACGCTGTCCGCGACCCCGCCTGGGTGGCCTTGCTCACGCCGGTCTGTCTCTCCCTCTTTCTTACAGCCTGCAGCCTGGCGCCCGCGATGGCGATGCGGGAGGTGACGGTGGCTTGCTCCGAGACGGCGGACCTGCCGTGCACAGCGCCCTGGGACCCACAGCTCTCCTACGCGGTGTCCTGGGTCAAGGTAAGCGCGGCGGTGTCTGCGCGGTTTCTTGCCGGGACAGTGGAAGCAGACACCCGAGGGACGGAGTCTCCTGGGGCCCCGGGTTGGGCACTCGAGCCGTTTCTGCCATCCTACCGTCTTCCCCCGCGCTCCATCTGCGTCCAGGGCCCAAGCTCCCTTATGTTAGTTTCCCGGCAGATCATGATCAAAGGCGGCTTGTCCTAAATGATCCCACCAGAGGGGTTCCAGGGATCGGATCCAGGCAGCAAGGCACCTGTGGGTGCAGCCAGGGGAAGCAGCATGGGCCTAGATTTGGGCACGGGACAGGAAGCATGTCAGCATGTCCCTAGACTCCCGATTTCTTGTACCTTGTGGCCATGACACTCTCAAAAACACAGGAGGGAGAAGGATATTTGTGGGGGAGGTCTCAGAGAGGGTCCCAGGTGGCTTAGGCTGGCCACAGGAGGTAGTGAGGAGCGTCATCTCTTGGCAGCCAAGGCATGGCCTCTCCTCAACCTTGCTGCTGCTTGGCAGTCCCTAGGGGTACTTGGAGCCATGAATGAGGACTTCCATAGGAATGTGCTGGAGCCTGAGGCCCAAACAGAGAAAGCATCTTTGCCCCTGTGGTGGGAAATTGAGTTGCACAAGGCGAGACGTTTGAAAGGCTTCTCGTCTCAGACGCCAAAATTGTAATTCCTGTGGTATTTTACAGCCCAGCTGCTGTAATTTAATGGAGCTGGCCTTTGCACCCCTTCTTTAAGTGAGGCTCTGAGACAGGCCACCTCCATTTTAAGGCAAATGAATTAAATCTCTGGGGGTAGCTCTCTGATTTTCCTCCTCCGAGGAGGCCTCTGTCTGTTCTCAGTTTGGGCTGCCTTCTCCCCACTATGAAGGATGCAAGAGCTTGTGTACGTATGGGTGTTTAAACGTGCAAGGCAGCATAGGAAGTGTGTGTGTGTGTGTGTGTGTGTGTGTGTATGTGTGGTGTTTACCCCCTTTAGCCAATTATCGGGGCTGGGGGATGGCCGCTCACCTTCCCCCAGTGCTACAGTGCCTGCCTAGCACACAAAAGGTCCCAGGTATGAAACCAAACAAGTCAACCAACTGGATTGTTAATTCCCCAAAGACGATGACTACACCAGTGCCCTTTGCCCTCTGCCCAGCGCCCAGTGTCTACCCTGCTACTAAAGCTAAGCTGACTATGAGAGATATGGCACCATGGACACCTCAGGACACTGCTGTGTAGGGCGTTACAGCTCTCTCTCTCTCTCTCTGTATATGTGTTCCTATTGCTTCTTTGTTTCTCCTTTCTTCACTGTGAGCTCAGAGAACAGAAGCCCAAAAATTGTTTGAGTAGTCAAAACAATAGCACTTTAAAAATATTGTAAAAACAATATTTGAGTGCTCACCATATGCCTGACTGTGGGAATAAATATTTACATATATCATCTACCTCTGTCTTCCGGAACAGTGTGGGCTTCAGGGGCCAGAACTATGCCTGTTCCTACTTTAAAGGTGAAGAGACAGAGCTCAGGGGAGCAAAATAAATGGGCTCTGAACCAAGCTGTCGGATGCTGAGACTTGAGTTGTTGGACCATCTTGATATCTCATTTCTCTCTTTTAATTACTTTGCGTAAAGAAAAGTGAAGTGTCCCTGAGCCAGCCAGACAGTGGACTCAGACATCTCAAGGAGGGAACAAAACATAAAGCCACGATCCCTCCCAGACTGTAATTAAAAAAACAAAGAAAGAAAAAGAAAGCATCATTAATATCCCCAGGGGAGTAATTAAAAAGTACTCATGAAACAAGTAGATGAAATTTCAGACTGTGAAGTTCAAACAGTTGTCAAGTTAAATCTCCTCGCGCAGGGTCGTTTGGAATGGTTCAGTAAATCACTGCAATTAGCCTTTGACCTCGCCTTGGATGTCGGCAGATGATGTAACTTTGCAATGTATGTGCTTGTTTATTGGACACAGTCCTTGCGAGACCTGGCCTGAAGGTCTCTTAAAATTTTTTCTATAAAAAAAAAAAAAAATAGGGGGATGGTAGAGTTGCTTGCTAAATATGAATGAAGCTCTGATGATAAAAGGGAAAGGCAGCTGTCTAATCTCATCTCCTCCTCCATGGGCGTGGCTGCTGGAGGAGCAGGTGTGCTGTGCTGTGCCTGCCCACGACGAATACCTTGACATCCAAATGTGTTATTTCTTCCAGGACTTTTGGACACGTCCTATTATATTTGTTCTTTTCATGCCCGATAATTAATACATTTGCATGGCTGTTGCTTATATAACACAAATGGCCAGAGAAGTCTAAAAATAAGGCCAGTGGTGAGATACTGAAAGGCCTCATTTTATGGATGAAGCATCTCAGTTTGTTTTTGTTTTTGTTTGCTTGTTTGGGTGGTTTTATTGTAATATGTTCTGGGGGACTGTGAGGAAGGGGATTTAAACTCAGAACCAAAGGCCAGCCTCGCTCTTCTCACCTCCCTTTTTTCATCTCTGTCCTGGCATTGTAAAACTTGTTTCCTGTTGGGATCAGTTCAAGCAGAGCAGAGCCTCTTGGAGTGAGATTTCACTGTCTACCACACTGAATCACATTCTTGCAGGCCTTCTGCTTATCACAATGGTGGTTACACATAGCTTCAAATTCCATTTCCCATTTAGTCCTGGGGTTCCATAGAGCATCCTGACACTAGCCAGTTGACACTGATGGCTTATGCTCAAACCATATCTTTAAAAACTCATTGGTCTTTTACCAAAAGCTGCACTCAGATGGAGTCCAGTTAGTGTCTGTACAGACACTGATGAGTCTGTCAGGAAAAGTGTTATTCTTTGTTTCTAAGCTGTGGTGAAGGGGGAGGCTGGAGAGACTCAGTAGAGACAAGAACATCAAAGGCAAAGCCAAATGTAACCGACAGCAGCCCAGTTCCTTCTAGCACAGCCCTTCTGTGGCCCAGTGCCCTCCTAACTGGGCTCCCCAAAAGCTCCCCTACTTGCTACCTTTTAAAGAAGAATGGATGGTGGTGAAGAAATAGAGAAATCGATAAGTTTGTAGCTATGTGGGCTATAAATCAGTTTAGTTTTTAAAGTCATGATAGATTGCAGCTTGGGTGGGAGGAGGTAGTTTGAGAACACAGGCAAATATGCTTTGATCCATCACTCTTTTGCTATGGACCATGGCATTTGTTTACATGTGATTTCAGAGGACAGGGCCCAGTCATCATGTACATACTGAATACAAGGCTCTGTATGAGGGGATGTGTCTGCACTGGAGTGTCCCTGTACCTCTACAAAGCTGCCGTAGTAGGCCTGAAGTGAGAACGCAGCTCTGAATGGGCAACTTTGGCCATGGCTGGTGTCCTTCTCCACTAACAAAGAGGAGTCATTTACTTAGCAGATACAGTGCCATCCTGGATCACGCTAGGAGCCCTGACAACCTACACTGAGGCAAAGGGGATATCTGATGTGGCCTCTGGCTGATACTGCGGGGGTGGGGACAGGCATGCGTCACAAGACATGCTCTCTTTACACTGATTGCCCAGGAAGGGAGAAAGGGGAAGTGGGACAGTGATTTCAGAGAACGGGTCACACTTGAATTTTGGAGTTAGAAAATCCCTGGTTAGGGTAGATCATGGGTACTCTGGTCCAGTGCAGTGTTCTATTTCTGCTGTTTCTCCTGGGGGCAATGTTGGCGATCAGGCTAACTGACAGCTCAACCCACACCGGGGTTGCTTGGCCTTGGTTTCGATTTCCATGGATGTTGCTCACTCTTGATGAAAGGAGCTGTATTTCACGTCGCCACCAGTATGCAATGTTGAGCTCCCAAGGCAGGGTCTCTGAAATGAGCAGCAAGCCTCATGAGGGATCAGGATCAGAGTTGAAGCCATCCCTCAAGGGCCTACCCACGAGCTAACAGGTACCACTTGCTGAGTTTTCTTGATTCTAAGAGGCAATCTCAGAACATGCTTTCCCAAAATCAACATGGAGAAGATGGCTCAGTTAGTAAGGTTCCTGTCATGTAAGTGTGAGGGCCTATCTTTTGAGCCCCAGCACCCATGTAAAAAAAGCAGCTTCAGTGACAAGGGTCTGTGAGGACAGTGTACATGGCCAGAGATGGGCGGATCCCTGAGGCTTGTTGGTCAGGCAACCTAGTCAAATCTGTGAGCTTCAGATTCTTTGAGAGACCCTTGACAGACAAGGTGGAAGGTGATAGAGGAGGACATGTGATGTCCACACACATGAACACACAAGTCTGTACATACATCCATGTCCGCACTCAGAGACCAAGCAAACATTTGATGAGTGGCACACATACAAGGGCGTACCTTGTACCACAAAACACTTTCGGTGCAAGCGAGGTAACTAGTGATCAAGAGAGGAAAATGATACAGCAGCTGTGCCCAGGGGTGACGCTAGGACACAGGGTGTGAAGGGCTTGAGTGTCGAATGATAATGAGTCCAAGGGCACACAGCCTCAGTAGCAGTAAGCCGTTGAAGGCATTTCAGCCCAGAGAATGATTCGAAAACCTAAGAGAGAGCACATTTCTCATGGTGATGGAAAGAATGTAATTCACCTAGAGACGAATCTTTGGGAGCCTGTATTTCATTTATTTGTTTGTTTATTTATTTATTTATTTATTTATTTATTTATTTATTTATTTATTTATTTATTTTACTGCATTGCGATCACCATCAGGTTACCTCATCGAAGGCTAGAGCACATCTTTGCTTCCCTGGGTTTTCTCCATCACCATTTCTGTCTGTGTGGTCAAGGAAGGATGAGTCTACCTCAGAGCGGAAGTCTCAGCCTGACTGGAATGATGGCTCATTGAGGCTTTGGACATGGCTGAACAGTAGCATTGTTTATGTCCTTTGCAGGGTAGAAATCGGGTGGCTGAAAGTTGAAGAGCTACACAAACAAAAAACCACGTGCTTTCCACGAATACAAGGGGGAACCTGAATCACATGAGGACTGGGTTCCCTTAGTTTATTCTTGGTTATGTCGCAGCCTGGAAAAAAAAA